AAAACCTGACTGGGAACCAAAAAAAAAATCAGGAGTCTGGGGATTATATAATCATAGATATTTAATATGTTTACCCAGAAATATTTACATTAGAAAGTGTTTAGACCATCATTTTTCTGGGTGATGTTGTACAAGTTGTAAACCTCTGGTGCTTTGATATAAATACTGTCTAAACAACATTCTCTTTGGAAGCCCCACTCTGCTAGAGAGAGATCTGTTCATTTTGCTGTTAACAAGAGGTTAAAAGATCCTTTCTAAACCATTTATTTGTGGATCCAGAATTGCAACTTAAGCCACTGATCTTGGACCCTTTTAGATCAGTGTGGTATAATGGAAACACTTCAAGTCCAGAGATCTAGGTTTAAATCCAGATTCACACTCAAATACTCAAAGTGAAATCTCTGAGCCTCAGTTTGCTCATCTATAAAATGGGGATACATACACTACCTAACTCAGAGAGTTGTCCTTAACATTTCTCTATGAATATGAGTTACTATTATTTCCTAGTTTTAGAAATGCATAATTCATGAAGTTTGCATATCTTATAAGAATACTCAGAGGAGTTGTTAGAATTTACCAAAAAACAATCTCCAAGTTGCTTTAAGTTTTTTCAGTATGTTATTTTATTTTATTTTATTTTATTTTATTTTATTTTATTTTATTTTATTTTATTTTATTTTATTTTATTTTTGCCTAAAAGACATTTTGCAGCTTGCAACCAATATAAGGAAATAGCATTTTCCACTGGCAAACAGTCACAGTCTTAGTCTCCTTTGACCTCTTTCCTGAATGAGAACCAGTTTTTTTCAAATGTTAATATTTCTATACAGACACATCAGGTATCTATCATTATGTCTACCATGGTTATCTATCCTTTCTTTTCTTAGTAGTAATTTGCAGGACCATCTCCAATCCTCCTGATCTCTATCTTATCACTGGACCTAGATGGCTCTGGAGGAGAAAGAGAAGCTGGTGACTTTATACAGCCCTCCCTCACTTAAATCCAATTCACTTGCAAGTCATGGCATCACCTCCCTGTTGGGGGCAGGGAGATCCTACCTTGCACCTTTTCCCAGCTTAATTAGGCTCTGTGAATGATCACATGACATGAATGAGAAGAAAGTCCCCAATTCTATTTCTTCCAGTGAGATGAGGAATCATCAGGTCTTATATCACCTGTCTTGTTACTGCCTTCCACAGTCCTTCAGGCCTTACTATCAGCCCTAATCTCTCCAGATCCCTGGGCAAGGTTATATGACTTGTCGATACCCCTGAATACCCCTGGGTCTTGCCATCCATCCTACTTCTGAACTCTTGGAACTTCTGGGCCTTAATCTCTGTCCTAAAGCTAAACTTTTTTAATCAGAATGTGAGCCTCTTGAAAGCAAGGATTTTTATTTTTTTCTGTTAATGAAGTCAACAAAGTGCTAAGCACTTTGTAGTAAATGCTCAATAACTTCATTTTCATTGATTAATTTAGTCATACAAGTTATCCCTTTTCTATACCAGAGGTTTCAAGCACATGATGGCACTCATTAAGCCCTCAATATTCAATATTCCCAAGAGCAATCTGAACCAGATTAAAATGTAATTTGGAAATATTTAACAAAATAAAACATAGATAACATTATATTTTAAAGCTAAGTCAATGTATGGCCCATAGAGATCCTTATGCATGATTTAGTGGCTCCTGTTTTTATTTGAATTTGACAATGGTTCATAACTGGTTTATAACATAGCAAAATATTATAACCTAAAAGGATTATACTACCCCATTTGAAAATATTGAATACCTTAGTAAAAATAGTTAGGACTATTATAAAAAGTCATGATTATCTTAAAATATAGCATAACATTCTTATTATAAGGAATCCCTGAATTGACTAAAGTATTATTCCCTTTAATACAAAATTATTTCTTCATCTCAGCTGAGGCATAGTTGTAATTGCATCTACCAGGTACTACCACAAATCCAAGTGCTGTATACAGTGTCTTCATAATAATGTCTGTCATGTGTTACCTTGCTTCTTAGATCATCACAATGTAAACTATATTAGCATGAGACACCTCAGTGAGAGAAATTTTTTTTTTCTCACTGGTCAAAATAGTTTTCCCTCATTGATTTTTCTGATTTCCCTCCTCCCCATACCTCCCCCACCAAAGGATCATAGATCACTGATTTAGAGCTAGAAGACACCCTTGGAGGCCATTAAGTCTATATTCTTTACATTTTACAGGTAAGGAAACTGAGGCACAGAGAAACTGCTTGTCCAGGGTCACAGACCAGTAAGTGTCCAAGGGTGGATTTGAACCGACATCCTTCTGACTCCAAGTTGAGTGACCTATTGATCATGCTGCGCTCATTTTAAAGTAATCCCAACTTCAACATTACTTATACAATAGAACAGGATCCCAAATTCAAGGCACTAAAAGAGAAATCCACTAATATATGTAACCCTAATTCCCAAAGCCCATTGATATAGGGCTCTCTCCTTATTGGTGGAGATGAATGTCCTGCTTTGAGTGAGGAGAGGGGCAAAAAAAGCCCATTGAAGAGGTCTCTTCGGTAGCCTTGGAGCCAGCGCTTCAAGCATGAAATCCCTTTCGGGCACGTCTAGCCTCTAACTTCTAGAGGGAAGATGGACCAGGCCCCCACCCTACTTCAGGTAGCTGAAAGAAAAGACTCAGTGGAGGGCATTAATCTCCATCAATAAGGAGAGCATCCCATACCAATGAGCTTTGAGACTGGGTTTATACATACAATGACAATTTTTTTAGACCTATCTCAACCAGGCTAGAGTTGCAGCAGTCGCTCACAGGTCTAACTTCCTTCAATGCTGATTATCACAGAAGCTTTGACTTGCTCAGTCTTCAATCTGGTCTGATTTGGCCTTAGGCAGCCTAGTGTCTCTACCCCTCCCCCACTCAAGATCAAATCAAATAAAATACTGCTTTTTTCCCTGAATTTTTCCTTGATCCTTCATTTGACTCAAATTGTAAATAAACTCTGCGTTCTAAAATTTTTTTAAAGAATTTTGCCTGGACCCTTCCCTCGAACTTCCATAGTTCTTTGTATATGGATTTCTCTCTCAAGGAGTAAAATCCTTGTGAGCTGGGTTTGGGTTGTATTCAACTTTGTATCTCCAGTGACAGTACTTGCAACTAATTGGTATGGGAACATTGGTGTTCATATAGTAAATAAGGAAAGTTAGACTTGAAGCAAAAAGATACTTGGATTTAAATTCTAGTGCTTATCATGCTTAATTAGAGTATGACCTTAGACAAGTTATTTAAATTAGTTTTATGTATGTTTTAATAATCTATGTAAAATCAGAATAACTTTTGAACTGCCTGTTTCACAGAGTTACTATGACTAAAGCACTTTGTAAACAGTAAAGGGCTTTTTGGAAATGAAATGATTATTATTAGAACCTTTTTCAGGTGTCTAAGAGTATCTGAAGCTGTATCACTAATTTTAATAATTTATAAAATGTATCATGTTAAAGATAATTTTATATTCAGTTAGAATATTTTGAGGCCATCTTAAAAGTAATCTAACATTGCTTTATTACAAATAACAGAAGAACACAGTAAAAGAGCATTGCTAAAAACATTATACCCATGAAATATGAAGAGAATTTTAAGATTCTAGATTTACATATTGATAAATGAGGATTCTAGAGTTACATATGGATATACATGGATATAAATAAGTATATGGTAAAGATACTAGAGATAACTGCCAAGTTTTACTGCTCTGACACAAAAATATTTATTTTTTGCATTTGTTGTTTCTACTATTTAATTTTTGCATTCTTTATCCCTTTGAAAATAATATGAATTTCTTCATTGTACTTTCCTAATCCAAATTTGTTTCTTATAAGATGGAGAGAATAATTAGTAAGAAGGTTTTTCAATTGTTAATATTGTTCCTTTCCCTTTTCCACCATAATAAGGCCAAGCATTGGCTTATGCACATCATATAACAAAATTTTAAATATTTTTGGTCTTTCTAAATCCTAAGTCAGATCACTAAATGGCCATTGGAAATATGACCATATATAAAGGTGGTCCAGTTGGGATGCTTCAAGAGTAAATGGCTATGTACAGCCCCAAATTAATCATGGCACTACTGTCAACAGTACACCTATTACAGACTCATGGTGCAATACCCCATTTATATAGAAATTAGGTAACTATCACCCACAAAATGTACTAGTATAAAATTGAGATAGCATGGATGAAACAAACCTAGCAATTATAACTACAAGTAGATGTATAATGATCAAATTTTAGCAAATTATAAAACTGTGATATAATTTGATTGGTAAATTAAAAATGAGCTTTGTCTTGCTATGATAAAAAAGTTTATGTTAAAATTCTCATTTTCAACATAACAAAAAACTTCATCAGAAGTGTACTGCATCTTTTCCATTACAAATAATTATTTCTTTCTAGTGTTATGATCTGCATATATAGATATGGTTGGCAACTGGAAGTGGGATAACATGGATATAGAGGATGCCAAATGGGGAAACTCCCTGTGTTAAAATTGTATCTTTTCCTAGTTCACTGACCACCTCCTCCCTTTCCAGTTAGTATAATAAGTTTATAAATAGCCAGTATAAAATAACAATTTATTGTTGTTAAGTCTGAGTTTCTTAGAAATCTATGAAATTATCAAAACCAATATTTAATCAGATGTCAGATGACATTAGGAGCATGAAAGTTTTCAATTACTTTTTATATATATACATACACATATATACATACATATATACATATATACAAATAGTATATTTATTATGTGTAAGTGAGAATAGAAAAGAAAATAAATCCATAATACATAGCACGTTAAAGGCCCTAATACCAATTCCAAATATCACCATCAAGCAATATTAATGATGTGTTTTCTCTGTGCACAATATTGTAGCATCTTCCATTCATAATATGGACACAGGTAAAATAGATGAAATACATTAAAATGCAATAATTCTTACCTCCTTGTTCACACAACTGCTGGGCTAAGGCATCCTTGAATATAACTTGGCCTCTGTGAGTAGCTGTAGCCCTGGAGACAAAGAAGAAAGGGTTTAAAGTTTTCAATAAGTTTCAGTTTAAAATTGAATTTTAGATTAAAATGCTTTATTACTCTAGAATTTCTATGGCTTCATAGATGTGGGTTTCTTCCCATGACTGAGAATAGCACTTACATGATGCTGCTGCCTCTGCTAATATCTAATAGTAAATCCTTTGATGAAGAACTCTCTGTACTCAAAGAGGTGAATATTTGAGAATTTTTCCATGGAATTAGACCTACCAGAGCCTGCAGGGTCTTGAAGTAGCTTTTGAGAATCCAAGACTCACTCTCTACCAGTAAGAAATTTTGAAGTAGGATTTTCATGGAGGTTCAATTTAGGTATGGTTGGCAACTGGAAGTGGGATAACATGGATATAGAGGATGCCAAATGGGGAAACTCCCTGTATTAAAATTGTATCTTTTCCTAGTTCACTGACCACCTCCTCCCTTTCCAGTTAGTATAATAAATGTATAAATAGCCAGTATAAAATAACAATTTATTGTTGTTAAGTCATTTTTAGTCATGTCTGACTCTTTGTGACCCCAGTGGTATTTTCTTGGTAAAGATACTAGAGTGGTTTGCCATTTCCTTCTCTAGGCTCTTCATTTTACAGCTGTGAAAACCAAGACAAACAGAGGTTAAGTGACTTTCTCAGGGTCATACACCTAATAAGTGTTTGAGGCTACATTTGAACTCAGATACTCCTGACTCCAGGCCTAGCACTCTATCCACTATGCCATCTAGCTGCCTGCCAAAGTAACAATAGCAGTCGTAAGACTGCAGAGTAGAATCAGGAAGTCACTTAGACTGTCCCATAGATCATAAATCAAAGTAGCATAATAATTATTTGCCAGATTGTATAATACATTAACTAAAATCACATCCTGAGACTATATGCTAAATCAGGGGAAGCCTGCTAGACTTCGTTGTAAGGAACTTTTGGTCTGCTAATTGCAAGCCTCAGATAAGCTCCAGACATCCTCAGTAAGATCAACAGACCACCAAACGTTATTGATAACTTTGAGACGATGTGGATATGTTAATGAGCTAATCCTGAAGTATTGTTGATAACTTTGAGATGATGTGGATATGTTAATGGACTAATCCAAGGAAGCATGGATAAGAGTTAATCTGTCCCTCACCAAAACCCTACAAAAATGAGACCCTGAACTCCTGCCCTCCCACTCCCCACTGAGTCTATGTTGCCCAGTGTTTCTGACTCTAATCCATCATTACATAAGTAATTGTGCCTCTCTTCCTCTCATTCTCTTCCCCCCACTGCCTGCTTTCCTCTACTATCTCATTCCCATCTCCAAACCATCTGCCTCTGTACCCCTGTGCTGTTCATCTCAAGACTTTCTCTACCATTTGCCCCCAAACTCTTTGTGCCTTATCAAAGTTTGATGGAAGCGTTATTCCTTGCTGCTATCATGGCTTTTCCTGATGAGTACTCAGAGAAGCAGGGGTACCTGCTTCCGTTTAATAATTCCAAAAACTAATCAGAAATGCATTCCCTTTATCAATGCAGTTTGGCACCTTCTCTGCAACTGAGAAGGTTGCTCTGAGAAATGAAGGTTATTTGCCCATAGTGTCAGACTTGGGTTGGCAGATGTTAATGTCTCCAAGGTCAGCTTTCTAAAACATTACTCCATGTTGCTTCTCATTGAACAACTTAGGTATATTAAGGTAAGTACTTTTCGCTTATTTAATACGTATTGTTATATGTACCCAAACAAGTGAAAATGAAAACCTGAGTGGAGGGTTAGCAGAGACTTCTAGATTTGGGATAATTTCCATGTTAAGTTTTATGATTCTGAGATATTCATATGTGTAGTCTGACATGGTTGGATTTGAGTGGAACTGGGGGCACGGATATGCTAGAGTAAGCCTTTGAGACCTGACTGTTACATTTTTAGTGTAAGCATTTACACCTTGGAAATCAGTAAATCCTGCAAATTAAGGTTTAATTTATTGTTTTGTAGCTTTTCTAGACTTAAGAAAATGATGGTGAAATGTTAAGAATGCTAATTAAATTTAAAAGTGTGTTGTACATGTTCGCTCCCTTCAACTGCGAGAGCTGGTTGTTAAACATTTACTAGCCCAGCTCTGAACTTGGGGAAAGAGGAAAAGTAAGGAAAAGATTTTTATTAAAATCCCTTGTAACGAACACCTTGATTTAAAAAAAATGCCTCAGAACATCAGGGACATTAGTACAGAACAAAGATGCATTTAAGGTACTTTAACTTAGAAATCAGTAGCAAAGCATCACAATATCAAGTGCAAAGTCCACATAAAATTCCATTTTGACAAATATTTTCAAATGTAGAATCTAGCTGGGGCTTTCATGTTATCAAAATCATTACCAGTCAAATATGACCTGTGTCATCATGACTTGCTTCTTCCATGTTTAGTATTCAACAGTTCTTTATAGTGACCAGAGGGGGAAAAAATGGCATCCCTACTTGAGTTAATAACAACACCAACAACAATAATAGGTAGCATTTACATAGCACTTTAAGATATGCAAAGGACTTTACATATCACTTGATTCTCCCAATGACCCTGGTGCTATTATTATTCTCATTTAATAAATGAGGAAACTGAGGCAAAAAGAGGTTAAGGGACTTGGCCAGGGTCACACAGGAAGTAAGTATCTGAGGCTGGATTTGAACTCAAGTCTTCCTGACTCCAGACCTAGTGCTTTATCCACTGTGCCACTTCCTGCCCTGCAAGAAGTATTTCTAAACAGAGAGCTATAACCCAGGCATGGTTCTTGTCCCCATAATATCAGATTTTTAAGGCCAGATTTCCGCATTTTCCTATTCTTACTCTTATTATTTATCTCTTGCTATTTCCTGCTTTAAAAATGTCAAAATACTGGTGTTTCAATGCTCTCTTTCAACTTTCTGCTTTTGCATCTTTTGCAGAAAAAAATGACCTTTGAGACGTCACTTAGAAGCTCTTTTCACAGAAAAATGAAAGTACAGTGAAGGCATATATCTACACATGAATATTTATATGTGTGTATGTATATGTGAGTATACATAAGTATCTTTTTTTCAAATACCATATTCTTATACGGATACCTTTTCTGGTCCTGCCAGCTGTTAAAGACATACCCTTTAAAGATTACTTTTGACCTACCTTGTATAGGTCTTATATGTACCTATTGATTTACATGTTGTCTCTCCCATTGTCATATGAGACAACATTTGCAAAGTGCTTCGTGCAGTGCCTGGCACATAGTAGGAGCTTAATAAATGATTGTTCTCCTCCTTTTCCCTTCTAACCCCTTCCCCATCAAAATACAAGTTCTTTGAGAAGAGTGACTCTATTTTTGCCTTTCTTTGTAACCCCAGTCTAGCATACAGTAAACATTATAATAAATTCCTATTGATAATCACACACAAATAAGTAGGAATATATATATGATTTTTGGTCTAAACCTGTGATTTCATCTATTTGTGGGATTCCTGGAATGGAAACACTGTCCATGGATACAGTTTGGAAACCTAACTGTAACTTTTAGATTTAGTTGCCTGAGTTAGTGAGAGATAAAGTAACTTCCAGTGGTCCCATGTCAGAGGCAGGCCTTGAAGACTTCCTAAATCCAAGGCTGGACATCTCAACCACATTTCAGGAACTACAGTATCTTGCAATGTATACCTTTATGTCTTTTATCTTAACATTAAAGAATTACATCTAACACAAAAAATTAAAAAAAATAAAAATAAATCAAGCCATCAGTTTGGCATATGGATGTATATTGTATGCACTATATTGTTTTTCAGTCTTGTCTGACTCTTTGTGACCCAATTGGGGGTTTTCTTGGCAAAGATACTGGAGTAGTTTGCTATTTCCTTCTCTAGCTCATTTTACAGATGAGGAAACTGAGGCAAACAGGTTAAGTTTCTTGCCCAGTTGCCTAAGCATCTTGCCTAGGGTCACACAGCTAGTGTCTAAGGCCAGATTTGAAACTCAGGAAGAGTATTTCTGACTCCAGGCATTCTATCCACTGATTGCCTAGCTGCCCATGACAACATCTGAACTACGTGTCAGGCACTGTACTGTTTTGCAATATTATCTCACATGATCCTCAAAACAACTCTGAAGGGTAGGTACTGCTGTTACCCCCAATTCAGAATGGAGGAAACTGAGGCAAGCAGGTTAAGTTTCTTGCCCAGATGTCACATAGCTAGTAGGTATCTGAGGTTGGATTTGAACTCAGAAGAACACTATACCCATGAAATATGCCTCTATACTGGGTAAAGCACTCATTTGGAGCCAAAAGACCTAAAGCTCTGCTCTATTACTTCTTATCTATGTGACCCAGAATCAATTCCTTCGCTTCTTTGGATCTCACTTCCATTCTCTGTGAAATGAAGATGTTGGACTGGATGATTTCTCAATGTCTTTTTCAACCTTGAATTTATGACTCTATGAATATAGTTGCTGGCTCTTCCTAAGGATATTTATCATCCAGCAGCCAGGTTACTCTTAAGTAAATTAGTAGTCTAGATATGCCTTACCCCAAACGAAGCAAAATAAAATGTACTCTTCAGAAGTAACTTTTTAGAACACTGGAATTCCTCAAGGAAAATCTCTTGAATGGTTGTGCTGTTTTAAATACCTTTCTATTAAGTGGCATGCATGTGTGAGGCTGCCTCAGAGGTATCCTTAGGCAAGACAAAAACAGTACGGCTAAAATAGCACACTAATTCCAAAGGTGACCTTAGAGAGATGTAAAGTGAAAATGATCTTATTGGCTTGCTGGTGAATTAATGGAGATTTGTATATGTGTGAGCATAAATACATTAAAAAAATTTTTTTTTCATGCACAATACTTTGCTCTGAGTCCAATATGGTATAAATCAATATGGTGCAATGGGGAAAGCAATAGACTTGGGGTCAGGAGACCTGGGTTCCAAGGCTGATGATGCCATGAATGTATTGACTCCAGTCAAATGTGTCAGCCATCATTAGCTGCCTC